GCGGAGAAAACACTGCCAGGCGTTTGGTACCTCCTCCCGGCTGGAGGAGTCCCCTTAGGGCGCTCAGACTTCACTTCGGTTTCCTCTGATGGAGAAGATGCTACGAAGAGAGGCTGAGGGAGCTGGGGGTGTTCAGCCTGGAGAAGAGGAGGCTCAGGGGAGACCTCATCACCCTCTGCAACTCCCTGACAGGAGGTTGGAGTCAGGTGGGGGTTGGTCTCTTCTCCCAGGCAACCAGCAGCAGGACAAGAGGGCACAGACTCAAGCTCTGCCAGGGGAGGGCTAGGTTGGATATTAGGAAGAGATTTTTTCCAGAGAGAGTGCTCAGGCATTGGAATGTGCTGCCCAGGGAGGTGGTGGATTCACCATCCCTGGAGGTTTTCAAGCTGAGACTGGATGTGGCACTTTGTGCCATGGTCTAGTGACCACGGTAGGGTTGGATTGATGATCTTTGAGGTCTCTTCAACCTAGTTGATTCTATGATTCTATTCTATGATCATAAAAAAGCTGCATCAGGCAAGAGGGGAGGGGAGGTGCTGGTGTCCTTTTTGGTTTGAAGTGTCCTGGGGTTCTCTTTCAACACCTGTACTGGTTTTGAACACACAGACTGGCTGGGTGGGCTTGCAGGGACCACCTCTGTGTTGTTCTGTGCTGGCTGCAGGGGCAGGAGGCTGAGCAGGAGTGAGTGAGTTTGGTCCAGAGCTGGGGAGTGGTGCTGGCAGCACAGGAGATGTGAGACAGAACATGCAGAACAGGATGAGTGAGTGAGGAGCTGAGCTGGGGCCCAGCACCAGGGCTGGGCAGAGCAGGAGTGAGTAACCAGGAAAGAACTGTGCTTCCTCCAAGCCCTCACAGTGATCTCTGTTGCTACTGTGGCAATTCTGTTTATTCAGTTGTTTATTCAGAACTATTTATTCAGTTCTGGACCCCAAACCTGCCCTACAAGCAGAGCTCTGTGCTGGGAATCTAGTGGGAAATGTCCCTGGCCATGCCAGGGAGTTAGAACTAGATGATCCCAAACTATCCTGAGTGAAAATAACCCCTCAGAGCATGAGAGTCCTCAGCAGTGGTCCCTGAGGTTTGTTGTGTGTGCTGAACTCCAAGGGATGTTTCTCTGTGTTATATATTCAAATATCCTTTTAGTTGGATCATAGGCTACAGGTTGCTCTTATATTTGAGTTTACTGCCTGATTTTTATCTCCTTTCCTAGCATTTTGGCTCCTGCTCTGACTCAAGCCCAGGGAACCCCTGGCACAGAGAAATTGGGTCCCACTGCAGCTCAGGCACTAATCTCTGATGATATCTGTAAAATGAGCCTGAATTTAAGCTTAAGTATTGGAGTGTGATCACTTATGTTAACTCTACCAAAGCTGTGAGCATCAGGAATGCTGAGGGCACTTGGTGGGGTCATTTGGACACTTAGAAAGGCTCAAAGTTTACCTTCAGGCCACAGGGAGAACTGGGAAGGGCAAGGAACTGACCCCTATCCCTCCAATTTACACTCTCCTCACAGGTGGAAAGCAGAAGGAAATAAATGAATGACCAGTGAAATAAATTAAGCACCAACTGCAAATTGTGAATTTTCCAGCCCTTTCCAGTCTTGCTTGAACTTGGACACTCTGAAAACTCATGGATTTATCAGGTTCCCCTCCTGCCTGATCTGCACACTGGCTTAGAGCTCTGGATTTGTTACAGCAGCTAAGTGGAAAATCACCTTTGATGTCAGTCCTGAATGAGTTCATGTCCTGTGTGCACTGCAGTGTCTGTCAGCAGAGAGGGAAGTCAGGAATATTTGGCCATTTTCTCTTCTGAGGATGCCACTTCTGTTGTCTCTGGCTGAGAAGAGCAGGAACTCGGGAGAAGATCTACCCACAGACTCACCATAACTCCCAAAGGTGAAGAAGCATCTCCTTGGTTTGGCTTTGGAGCTGTGGGATGTGGTGTGGGAGTGACCAGAGCAGAGAAGAAAATCAAAGAGGAATGAGGTTTCACCCCTTGGACTCATAAGTGATGGGGATGGAACCCATAGAGGTGGTTTTAGGCACTGGATCTTCACTCACTCCTCAGGTTCTCATCACTGATGCTCAAGTCCTACTGGTGGAAGAGCTTTTCTCCTCAGGAGAAGAGGAAACACAGAGCTTGGAGACTGCTCAGGCACAAGAGCTGCTTGATGCAGATGTTTTGCTTCACCTCAGCATCCCATGGGATTTGTGCCATCCCAGCTGGAGACAGGAGAGGGAAATCCTCCTCCCTTTAGCCACACACAGGTGCAGGTTAGGGATTTTTCTGGATGGATTTCTTTGAAGCTATGACAGAATTATTGTCCAGGAGGTTCCCTGAGTTCTTAACACACATTTCCCTGTGAGCAATTGCTCCCTGCATTGTTTATCTATGGCTGTGGGAGGTGACTCTGAGCCTTGGAAAGCTGGAATTTCCTGCTCTGTTTATTTTTAATCCTTTAGATGCTCCTATGAGACTGGAAGTGTTCCTAGATGACAGGGGAAAGAAACTCTTTCCATTCCAACTGGAGCTTTTGGTACAACAAACAAGCTGCTGCTGTTTGTTTTCCCACTCAGGCTCAGTTTATCCATAAATCCCAGAGATTTGCCAGCGTGTTTGTAAACTTGTGGTGGAGCTCAGCTCTCAGGGTGTGTTTGCACAACACCTGGCACAGTTTGGCTTTGAGCTCAGCTGCAACACTAATGTGCAGACACCGTTACTCAGCTTTGAATGCACTGGGAATTTCCTTCCAAGTTTGCAGAAGGAATAGCATCAAATTTATGCTTTTGTGGGAGCAAATTCCTGAAAGGAATTTCAGATTTAACCCTTGTCACTTAAGAGCCACATTTGGCTCTCAATGTACCTTCTCTATGCTATAAGAAACCTTTGTCCTTCCCAGTTTTCCCTGTGTATATTTGTACAGTAATTTGGAAATTTATTATTGCAAGTTGCTGTTTTCACACCTTTATTGTTGGTCTCTTTGGACCAAGAGGCTCACAAACCTCTGGGAGCCTTTTCCAAGTGTTTCAATCATCTGCTTTCCCAGCATAAAATGTTTTATTCTTTTAAATCACAAGGGATTTTTTTTTGAAAAAAAAAATTCGTTTCATTTTAATGTTTCCACTGAAAAACCAGAGATGAGGAAAACGTTTTCAGCCAGAGGTAAATGAGTAGTAAATCCAGAAAACAGAAATACAATTTCTCCCTTTTTTTTTGGTGTCAGAACATTGTCAAAAAAACTTTAGTGTTAAAAAAAAAAAAAGAAATATTTGTCTTAAGTTCCATTTTCCAAGAAATGTTACCTTTCTTTTCCAGTCCTCATTGTCATCAGTGTCTTTTCTACAACAAAACCTCACTCAGAGCAACAAATTTGTACATAGACTGTGCATGAAAGGTTCAATACTTGGTGTGAAAGCAGCTGAAGGTCCAGAGACTCCTTAAGTCATCACACAGGACTGGATGAGTAGGGTAAGAAAGAAGAGATCAAATGGGTTTTTTTCCCCCAGAAGTAAAAAGTGATTTTTACTTAATAATAAAAAAATAAAAAAAAAAGCAATGACAAAAAAATGACTCCTCAGAAATGTCTATTTACAACCTGTGACTCAGATCCTCATTAACTCTAGTTTTGCTGGATTAATTTTTTTGTCCCCACAGTCAACTTGGCCAGGGATTTGTAGAGCTCAAGTCTCCTCTAACCAAACTCTTTCCAAATGGAGAGTTGTAAAGTAACCACAACTTCCCTGGTGATCTGAAATTTGACCTTTCCTACACTTTGGCATCTCAGGAAACTCCAAAACAACTTTGCACACATCAAACTGAAGGTTCAAACCTGAACAATTTGTGTCCTCCCAATGACAGGAAAGCAGAGAACAGATAAAACTCCAACCCTGACAGCTCAGGAAAGGACCAGAAGTCAAGTACATCTAGACCAGAACTCAACCCAAGCACACTTAGATCAGGACTCAAACCCAACTAGATCAGGACTCAAACCCAACTAGACCAAAACTCAAACCCACCTAGACCAAAACTCAAATCCACCTAGACCAAAACTCAAATCCACGTAGACCAGGACTCAAACACACCTCAACCCCAGAGAGGTGTTTGTTTAGTACCAGATAAAACCCAAAGAATGAGTCAAAGAAGGTTGATCTTCATCCTAAAAATAGGAAAGTCAAGACTAATCCTTGTCTCACCAAATCCACACTAACTGCTTCTATGTTCATGGATCACCAGCTCTCACCTGAGGTTTCAAACCTCCTGTGAGGCTAACTAGGAACAATAACAAGACCTGGACACAAAGTTTGCAAAAGACAATTATTTTTTTCAAAGGAAAAAAAATAAGAAGGTTCTAAAATACTTAATAAAACAAAACCAAAAAAAAAAAAAAAAAAAAAAAACAAAAAAAGGAAGGAAGATGATGGGGGGAAAACAAAAAAGCACCTTTAGAAATGAGCAGAAAGGCTCCAAGCAAAGCAAGTTTGGAGGTGGATCAAGCAGTGCTGTTGACCTTGGAAGGCCAAACCAAGGCTGACATGTGGACACAGGTCTGTGATGAAATGAACTGGGTAACCTCGGCTCAGTTTGGGGTGACAGTGTGTGTGTGTGCGTGACAGTAACAGCAGAGAGAGCTGTGGGGAGCTCTGGAACCAGAGGAGAGAGGAGATTCCTGCCATGGAGATCCTGCAGGACCAGAGCAGGACGCAGAGCTTTGCAAGCAGAGGGCAGAGTGTCATGCGAGTAGTGCTAAGCAAAGGGCTCGTGGTGACCACATGGACCAGGAGTTCTGGTGGCACTGGTGGCCTTGGGAATCCTTGGGCAAGGGCAGCTGTGGTTTGAGTCCCTGGAGAGTTCCACTGCTTTGGGTTCCCTTAAACAAGACCTTCGTTTGGCAGCGGTTGGAAGGCACGGGAAGGTCAGGTGTTGCCCCAAGCATTGTTCCTAGAGGAGTTGGTCCATAGCTTGGAGTCAGAGCTCCTTGTCCACGTGCTGGAGGAGTCATCTCAGTGGAGGTAGGTGGGTTGGTTCCATCGGTACCAAGATCTGGTGGTAACAGAAGGGAACAAAAGCTACAATTGCTGTGTTGGGAACAGTTTCTCCTTGAAATAAACCTCATTCCCTTCAACCTTACTTCATTTGGCAGCCAGCAAATGCTCCTTTGCTCCTATGGGGAGCTCACTCTGACTTCCTAAGCAACATCTTCATGCCTTCACATGCTACCTGGAGCTGCTCCATGCAAAAGCAGCTTTGACTCATGGCCCAGGATGCTCCATGACTCAAAGCTCAGCAGCTATTGGTAAAACTCTCTGCTCTGTCACCTTCCTAACATCATCCTTGATGTGCTGCCACAAAACTACAAGTGCAGAGAGCCCTGAGCAGCCCAAACTGTGGCAGAGGCATCTTCAGTGAAATACCCAGGAGGGCTCTGAGCCCACCTGTTTGGCTTAATGATTTTGCAGCATCTAAAGGCAGAGGGGAAAAAAATGAATTCCCTGTTCTTGTTTCATCTGCCACTGTGGAAGAGTTAGTCACAGCAGAGCTCTCTGGGTGGCACTGCAGGAGAGAAAATTGGCTGTGGAGGAGATGATTCAAAGCAGGAACAGCAAAATAAGCCCTTCCTCTCCTTCCTCCACAAGGAGTTAGGTTAGGACAGCTCTCATGGCTGAAGTTTCTGTTCAGTTTGGGGGTATTTTTCCCCCCTTTTTTTTTTTAACTAGCAGTTTTTCCAGGCAAAACTTGATTTGCTAGTTCTTTTCAAACAGAAAAACAGCCACATCCCAACAATCATAAACTATCCTGAGTGGGAAGGGACCCACAAGGATCAAAGTCCAATTTTTGGCCCTGCACAGACACCCCAACACTCCACCCTGTGCCTGAGAGAGTTGTCCAAACACTCCTGGAGCTCTGTCAGCCTTGGGGCTGTGCCCACTGCCCTGGGGAGCTGTTCAGTGCCCAAACACCTCTGGAGGAAGAACTTTGTCCTAATATCCAACCTAACCCTCCCCTGACACAGCTTCAGGCCATTCCTTCAGGTTCTGGTTGTTAGAGAGAAGAGGTCAGTGCTGCCCCTGAGGAAGCTGCAGATTTCCATGAGGTCTCCAGGCTGCACAAACCAAATAACATCAGCTGCTCCTTACAGAGCCCCTCCTAGACCCTTCACCATCTTTGTAGCCTCCTTTGAACACTCTCTAAGAGCTTTATATCTCTCCTATACTGTGGCTGCCAAGAAGCTTCCCAGAAGAATATTCCACCACGTAGCTCCAGACTCCTGGAGTCTCCCCAAGGTGTTTTCCTCCCCAGCCCCCAATGCCCTTGCCAAGGGGTGAAGCTGTGGGTCCTCTCTCTCTCTGCCTTACCCTGAAGAGTTGAAACCAGAAGAGTTCATGGCAGCTTTGGAGTTGCTCTGGGCTGTGCCGGGGCTGCTGGCATGGAGTGCACTGCCAGGGGACGAGGGCCTGCTGGAGTTCCCTGGGGAACACGATGATGTTACTGTGTGTGAGAAAGCACAATAAGACTGGTATCTCCTCTGCCTGCTGAGCACAGCCTGAGCCCAAATATTCCCACACTAGATCTTGCACCCATCCTGATGCTCCTCTCATTCACTGCAGCAAGGCAGGAGCTGTGCCCCAGCCTGGGAAAAGTGAGAGATTCCCAGGATTTCTCCCTGTGAATCTCACTTCTCACAGGAGATGTGACACTGTGACATACCCCCAGGCACTGCCTTTGCTTAGCTCCTAGCTGTGCCTGGCCCCCAAATCTAAATACCCCACTAGGATCCTGGGTGTGATATGCCCAGGAAGTTTTCCATGTCTTATCCCAACCAAGAGAAAGACTCAGCTGTTCCTATCCCATGTGGGGACACTTTCCCTGGCCAAACCCAAGGGGTGTATGAAATCTAACCTGCAATGTGACCCAGAAACCAAAGAGTCAGAGAGCAGGAGAGAGAAAGGGAAAAGAAAAGGGAAGAAGGTGAAGGCAAATGGATAGGGTAAGGAAGGTTTCTCAAGGATGGAAGGAGGGAAAGAAGGAAGGGAGAAGGTGTGAGGGAGGTTTCTCAAGGATGGAAGGAAGGAAAGAAGGAAAGGAGAAGGTGTGAGGGAGGTTTCTCAAGGCTTACCAGTCCCAGGCATGGTGCTATGCACTGGATTCACGGAGAGGGGCCCCAAGGACCCTGAGGTAGAGACCTGAGGAGAAGCAGAAGCAAACAGTTAGTATTTGGCACTGTGAGTGAACACTCCTCTCACATTCCCTTCAGTGTGTGCTGGCTCCCAGGCACACACAGCAGCCACATCTGGGATTCCCAGGGGTGTTTCTAGCCATACTCTGGTGTAGCAGCACCATTCTCAAATCCAGGGCTAGGAAAAGAAACCAGAATGAGCACCACATGTGTCTCACACTCTGCATACACCTACATGTATGGATCAGCCATGGAAAAGTCTGAAATGATCAAAATCAAGCCAAATTTTCTGGGATGCTTCAGACTGGATGTTCTCAGTCTGCAACTTCTCAGCTCCCTCTGGACTTGGGCACAGCTAATGCCAACTGCAGTGACAGGACAAGGGGTAACAGATTCAAACAGAAGGAGGGAAATTTAGGTTAGATCTTAGGCAGAAGTCCATTCTAGCTGGGATGTTGAGGACATGCCCAATCCATGGCTAACCCTGGTGCAGGTGTTAGTCCCCACTGGGCGGTGGAATCAAGGTGTGTGTACAAGGACATGTCCTGTCCCACTTCCCTGTCCACCAAACCCTTCTGCATCCCACACCCTTCTCCCTTCCCATCTGGGAGGGCACATAGAGCTCCATAACACCAAGTGTCTCACCAGTCTGGAGTTGTAGATGGGTGATTTGATGGAGGATGGCACGGGGCAGCTGATCCTCTTTTCCTTCTGCCGCCGGTTGCAGAACCAGACCCGAACCACCTCCTTTTCCATGGAAAGCTGCTCTGCTATCAAGGATATCTCCTCTGAACTGGGCTTGGGGTTCTGCTGAGAAAGGCAGGAGGTTAAAGAAAGCACAAAGATCTGCACCTTCGAGCATCAGTGTGTGCTGGAAGGATGAGGGTGAGGTTGGCTCTTATCTGGGGAGGAGAGAAAATTTCCCTTCTAAGACAAAGGGTAAATATTTGGGTGAGTGATTATGTTCTGTGAACCAGAAAGTGCCTCTGATTGGACATCAGGTCTCGTGTTCTGTGAACCAGAAAGTGCCTCTGATTCGACATCAGGTCTTGTAGAATCAGCAAGGGATGAGTCACAGTCCCTGTTGTTGCATGAAGCATCACACACTGATCTTAGCCCCCAAATCACTGCTGGGAACACCTAATCCTGGTGCTCCTACACTGCACAGGGAACACACAAGCTCTGAGTGTTGTCTGCACCATCTCAGTGCTTCCTCCAGCTCTCATTTCTAAAAGGAAATAAAACTCTGCCTTCTGACTCATTTATTTGCTGGTACATTTGACAGCATTTAGCTCTGTGGGCTTTGAGCTCAGTTGGAGACTCGAGGGTCAAAAATAAGCTGGCAGAGAGATGCCAAGACTGTTCCCATTACAAAGGATTCCTCTCACCAGCTGAAAATGAGGTGCTAAAATGACCTGACAATGTCTCTCTTTTGTTCTCCTTAAGAGCCTTAGCAGAAGCTTTTTTCTAACTCCTTATTAAGACAAAGATTTTGCCCTCACATCTTGAAATCTCTTCTCCAGCGTGGAGCGAATGTTGGTCTCGATGCTGGTTCTCTTCTTCCTTTTCCGCCCAAACATCTCGTTCACTGAGGGGTAGGAGTTGGGAGTGCTCATGGAAGAATCCAAAGGAGCAGATTCTGAGGACAGAGGGAGAGAAAAGAGACATTCAAGAAGGTGATTTTCATTCCTAGATCCTTTCTATGAACTAAGGCACCTCCTAAAACAGCTAAAATGTTCCTACACTGTGGATCCTTCATCTGATGATGATTCAAATGGTTCCAAACCCATCACTGAGCTTGCCCAAATCAGGGAAGAAATAGGAGGGCTCAAGTTTTAATCCACACACTGTTTTTCCTTTTCCCAGCCTGCTTTGATGGGGATCACACATCTTCCAATGCTTTAATCTCACACAGTTAAAGGTGTTGACTAAACCCCTTGGGTCATCCTTTCCAGTTTACACTGACTGGATGGTTTGGAGGTTCCTGCATAGATCCTCTAATCCTGCCCAAAGACCAGTGGCATTTGTGTATGGAATCTCACCTACCTGCATCACTCAGCCACTTCTCCAGCAAGGGTTTGAGCTTGCACATGTTCTTAAAGCTGAGGTTGAGAGCCTCGAAGCGGGAAATGGTTGTCTGGCTGAAATCATTGCCATAGAGCTTCCCCATGGCCAGACCAACGTCACCCTGCAGGGAAGAGCCAAACCACAGCCTGAGCTCAGCTTCCTGCTGTCACATCACCCCTCAGGCTGCTCCCAGAGGAGCTCCAGCCTTGTTTCCATGACTTGCCTTCCTGACAAAGTGACTGCTTTTCCCACACCCCTGTATGTTGGAGAAGGAGCAGATAATGAGGTCATGGTAATGAAGCATTAGGAGGGCTGGAGCACTTTCCCTATAAGGACAGGCTGAGGGAGTTGGGGCTGTTCAGCCTGGAGAAGAGAAGGTTAAGTGGAGACCTCAGAGCACCTTCCAGGAGCTTAAGGGGCTCCAGGGAAGCTGCAGAGGGATCTGTGTTAGGAACTGCAGGGACAGGATGAGGAGGAATGGGGAGAAATTGAAAAAGGAAATTTAGGTTAGATCTTAGGCAGAAGTTTTTCCTGTGAGGGTGGAGAGACACTGGCACAGGTTGCCCAGGGATGATGATGCCCCAACCCTGGTAATGTTCACAGCCAGGTTGGATGAGCCTTGAGCAACCTGCTCTGGTGGGAGGTGTCCCTGCCCAGGGCAGGGGTTTGGGGCTGGATGATCCCTAAGTTCCATTCCAACCCCTTAACATTCTATGATGCTGCACAGAAAGCCAAAGTATATCTACTCCAACCCTTCCTCCACCCACCAGCCCAACCTGCCCACCCTCCCATCCACCAGGCCACTCACCTGTGTGAACCCTAACTTGATTCTCCTTTGTTTGAATGTCTTAGCAAACTTCTCCAGCTCCTCCAGGTCACTGGGCTCCTCCGATGCTCCTGATGGAGTTAGGTGCTTTGCCACTTGCAAGTGTTGGGGTACATCCAGGTGGGGTTCAACTGAGGAGCCAGGGAGCCCAGAGCGGCCCACAGCCTGTGCCAACACCACAAAACAGATGCTCAGAGTCATAATAATAGTAAAAACCAACATTTTCTGTGCTAGTTGCCCTGCCTGAAGCAGCACTGTGTTTTACAGGTGGCACTGGGTGGAGGTGAGTTACCTGTGATGCCAAGCTGGGTCCTGGCTGGGAGAGGAGAAGGCTGCCCTGTTGCTGAGGGAAGGAGAGGAGGTTTGGCTGCAAAGCTGAGGAGAGAAAAAGAGACATATCTGATCAGAGCAGCTCCACATCAGCTGAGCATCCCTGCCCAGGAAAGCATAGAACCATCAAGGCTGGAGGAGATCTCTAATATTAAGCCCAACCATTAACCTGTCACTGCTGTAACCCCTAAACCACATCCTCCAGCACCAGGACCAGATGTCTCTTAAACACCTCCAGGGCTGGTGACTCCACCACCTCCCTGGGCAATATCCCAGAGCCTGAACAGCCTAAAAAAAAAGGCTCCTGGAGCTCTGAACTGGAAGTTCCATTGCTTAGTTGGTTCTTGCTGAAAAGACATGAATTTCAGCCCTACAAACACTTGTGGCTCTGAGTTGGATTATGAGGCAGAAAAGATTCTTCTTGTGGCTTTTTAGCCTGGAAGGGACTATCACAGTAATGATAGAAGTAAAATATCTCATCTGATCCCTGTGTGTGGCTCATTAACCTAAGGCTCAACCAGGCACAGACATTGGATAGACATCTAACTCTGCTTTTAGGTGCCAAACAGCAGAGAATTCCCTCCATCCCTCGTGGTGATGATCTCTCCCAGTGCTTAATCATTGGAGCTGTAAGAAAAATGTACATCTGCTTTCCAATATAAGCTTTTCTGGCCTCAACTTTCAGCCACTGGTCCTGCAGTTCATCTCCTGAGCCCTCCCACTCTGCTTTCTAGGACACATTCCAATGCCAAGTGTCACTTTGAAGCCATCTAACCTTTCCTTTTCTGCCTTCCAGTCTTTCAAATCCATTGAACTGCTTTCAGAATATCCAAACCGACACCAACTGATGAAAGGAAGACAGAAGGGAAATCTATCAAGCTAACAAGAACTGGTATTTATGGAGACTAAGTAATTGGTTTGTTGACAAACTGCCAAGTCCAAGCCTATATCTCTTACAGGGAATGTCCTACAAGATTATGATTCTAGGGCTAAGTAGTGCCCAAAGGAGTGGTAGCTCCCAAGAAATTCAGTTAGGATCAAGCCCATATGAGTGAAACTTGTAGATTTAGTGAGGATTTATAACAGTCAATAAATTCCAGTGATTATAACAGACAATTGGAGGGAAATCTATAGACATTTAGGGATTTGTGCCTAAATAAAGAAGGAAAACAGATAAGCTCCAGAATCAATCACTTCCCTTGCTGTTTTTCTGTCTTTTCTACTTTAAATTAGATCTGGTGCTCACTATCCCATGTGTTTCTTTAGGATCAGGTGCTCACTATCCCATGTATTTCCTTAGAATCTGATGCTCACTATCCCATGTATCTATTTACCATCTCATGTTCACTATCCCATGTCTTTATTTATCCTGGGGTTCCAATAAACCTTCCTTAATGCTGCAACAACTTGGCCTTTCAAATCCAGGCTGGTAATGAGGTGCACATTTGAAAGAGTGCAGGTAATTAATCACTGGAATGGCTTTGCCTAGGGACATGGCAGATGCTCTGTCATTTGGAGTCTTTAGACTCATGATTGAACACCTTGGTGAAAGCTAAGCTGGAGCTCAAATGAAAATCGTGGGCTGGATTCAGGAACCACAGGTCTGACAGCTGAGATTGAGGCTGTGTTTTCCAGGAGATGAAGATGTTTGGGCTGAGAGAATTCCCAGCATCTCCCTGGCTGCTCATTCCCACCTTCATGGCACCTTTGATTCAGGTGTGACAGCATCAGTGCTGCACAGTGATCATGTCAGGGCATGAGGGGTCACACCTGGGGATTTATCTGGCTTAAAAACTGCTTTAAAACACAAAACCTAGGAGAAAATGCAGATCCTCTTGGAAAGGTTAAGCCTACACCAAGTCCCTTTGGCCATGGAATCCATGGACTGCTGTACCCAGTAAAACTGAGGGAACACTGAAGGGTTTCCCATGATAACTTCAGGGATAACTTCAGGAATATTCTGTGCATCTCTTGGAAAGAACATTCCACCTTTATAGTCCCAAACAACTCATTCCACAGAGCCAACCTGTGCCTTCCCTTTCCCTCCCCAGTGCATGCACATGGCAAAGGATCATTAACACCTGGCAATCAGCTATGCAAATCAATTTGTTCCTGCACCAAACTCCAGCTCCTGGCCACAATATCCAGTCCTGATCCAGCCTGTAACTAAAGGGCCAAACAAATACCTGACTGGAGGTGGTTAGAGCTGCCAAAGGAAGTAAGTGAAGAGAAAAAACTCTAATCTATCAAAGGCAGCAAGTTCTGCTTTGCAGCACAATCTGTTTGTTCTGCATGCATAAAAAAAGCAATAGATGGTCCTGACCCTATTTCAAACTAACTAAATTCCAGATTGTTGGTAAATATCCATCAAATAGGTTCCTTTGTGCATCACTCAGCATCATTTGGCAGAGAGTTTAGGTACTGTCAATAAATAAGTTTCCCAGTTGCCCACGCACAGGTTTGTTTGGAGTGTTTGTGCCAGTGGGTTCAAACTGCAGAGATTAAGGTTTTAACTCTGAATTTTGGTTCATGCAGAGGGAGTTCTGAGCTGGAACAAACCAAGAGTGCAAAGGACTCAAGTCTGTCAGGTTTATAGATCAAAGCCTATGTCTGTCTGTTCACAAGCAGCAAAAAACTTTCTCCATGGCACAGCTACATCTGTTAGTGGAGAAATGGCATAAAAAATATGGGAGGGAAAGATAGGAACACAGAGACTTTATCTAGCACTGAGTTATAGAATCATAGCATCATAGAATCAACCAGGTTGGAAAAGACCTCCGAGATCATCAAGTCCAACCCTCCTGTGGTTACTAGACCATGGCACTAAGTGCCACATCCAGTCTCAGCTTGAAAACCTCCAGGGATGGTGAATCCACCACCTCCCTGGGCACACTCACTGTGTTTCAGCAGCAGTGAGACCTCCTGTCCTCTCCTGCCCCAACTCCAAACCTCTCAGTCTCATCCCTGTGTTGCTCCTGGCTAGGTTAGCCCTGTTTGTTCCACTACCAGCACTGTCTCTCAGCTCCTTCCCAAGATTTACTCTCCCTCTAATGTATCCAGAGATCAACTCAACTTCTGAGCAGTTTTCTGGAAGAAATGAACAGTGGGAGCTCTTCATGATGACTAAAATCGCTCCAAGTCCCATGAGTCTGGGACTGCTCCCTAAGGAAGCAGCTCCTTGCTGTTCTGCTAGGAAACAGTCCCTGGCCAGAATTCCAGGTGGGATCCTACCTCCCTGCCCAGCCTGGCCCCAAGGTGGCACTCTTGGAGCGCACAAGGCACAGGTACCAGGAGCATCTCCAGATTTGGACCTTTCCCTATGCATCTGGGATCATCCCCAGCGTGGGAACAGCAGGAGAAGGGGAAACATCAAGTGTCACAGCAAGGAACAGACTGGGAAAACCCAACAGATTCAAAGTCATGATCAGGGAAGGTTTTCTCCTGGACTATTTCAGCTCTTATTGCTCTTACCTTGTTGTCCTGCCTGGGATTGAGACAGAAGGAACTGGGGAACTGACTGCATGTGCCCAGGAAGCAACACAAGCTGCTGCAGGGTGTGCAGAGAGCTCATATCCTATGGGAAAATAAAAAAAAAAAAAAAAGCAAAAGAAGCAATAAAACTCAGAGAAATTTGCTCTTCACACAGTGACTTCTCTCCCTGAGCCCATTCACAATCTTCAGTGGGATTTGTGTGCTGGAAAACTATAGACCCAGAGGTACTTCAGGGTCTGAAGTACTTGGAGTAGTGAATAAGTACTATGTAAGTACCTGCACAGTATATATAGGTGTACAAGAGGAATTCTGTGCACACACACAACATCCACATGGAAAACTATCCACTCTCATCTCTCCATAATGTAATTTTTGAGGCAATCAAGCTCTGGTTGACAGAAGTCACAGCAAAACCTCTTGGATTTCAGTTTCTTCTAGATAAATGTGTTTTCAGAAAGTCAAACTCCCCTAGAATTTCACAGCAAATTGCAGCACTGTCCCATCTCACCTACACCTGCTTTCCATGGAACTGCTTCGAAGCTCCAGGGAAATAGAAGAGTCCCTGGTAATTTTTGAGGCAATCAAGCTCTGGTTGACAGAAGTCACAGCAAAACCTCTTGGATTTCAGTTTCTTCTAGATAAATGTGTTTTCAGAAAGTCAAACTCCCCTAGAATTTCACAGCAAATTGCAGCACTGTCCCATCTCACCTACACCTGCTTTCCATGGAACTGCTTCGAAGCTCCAGGGAAATAGAAGAGTCCCTGAATTGTGTAAGCAAATATCCCATAAGAGATAACTGAGCAGCTCTGTGTCCTCCTGGAATCTTATTCCTGGGAGAGTTTAACAAGACTTCAGTGCTGATTTCCAAATGTCTTACCTCAGAAAAAGCAAACTTCTCTGAAGGAATTAATTCCTGCTCTGGTGTTAATCAGTTTGAGGATACTGGTTCAGATCTAGAGTTAATCTAGCCTAGAATCCTTTCTCCAACAACAGCATTAACCAGACAGGAATGAATGAGGATGAGCAGAGCAAACATATCTAACACTTCCCCTTGGTGCTGTCTCAGCTTCCAATTACTTCAAATCCAAGACATTTCCTGACCATGGTGTGGTTTGCCTGCTTAGCAAACCCTCAAAGGAAATCTCATCCAAGCCCATGTCCAGTTTGCCTTTCAATCCACCTGCAGAGAAGAAAGGCTGAGGAGGAAGCTTCAATCAGCTCTTATCAACACAGCCTCACTCTCCCCATGCTCCTCATCCCCTCAGTCTCCTTTTGCCATTGCCCAAAGGAATTTGGAGAGGGGTTCAGAATCAGCCTCTTGTCCTGAGCTTCCCCTACCCATTCCCATTGCAGATTCCTGGATCCCAAGTCACTTACCCCTGCGATTTGGCTTCCAGGCATCATTGAGGATCCCTGCACAAGGTGCCCTGAGCGAGGGGGGATGGCAGACTGCAAGGAGTCACTGAGGTCTTCAGTTTTGATCTGGAAAACAGCAAAAGAACTGGAGAATTAGGGAGCAGAGACCAGGGAGTGGGGGCAGCTGCCATCCAAGAGGTTGGAAAGGATTGGGAAGAAGCTCCTTCCAGGGAAATCTGGAGGTTAGGACTTGCTGTTTCCATCACTGAATGGCCATTCCCTATTCCTGCTCTCCACTCTGGACAGAGTTTTCCTGCTCTGCCAAGCCAAGGGCTCCATGGAAACACAGTCATTAAAACACTTCAGGAAGTAACCAAGTAACTTTTCCAAGTTTTTTTGTAGAATTGTAAAGATAACACAAAGCAATTCCCCTTTGCAGATCACAACCCTATGGCAGGGTCAGCATAGACAACCTCTCCTCCTGTTGTGCAGGGAGCAGAGAGTGGTATAAGGGAAAGGGAAGCTCATGGAGTAAAAGACCTCAAAAAGCAGAGTAATCTTCCAGACTAGAACATGCAGCACCCCAAGCACCAGAGGTATTTGCTCCTCTTCTACCAAAAAGCAACAAGAAATTGTAAGGTAAAAAAAAAATATCTCCTTAGTTACAACAAGTTGTGGAGAAAGAACTGGAAAACTTCACAGCTGTCAGCTCCTTGTCCAGTGCTCACTTTGAGCTGCTTTAATGTTCAAGAAAGTTTCCTGTCTACAAAAATAAAAAGTCATTATTTTTGAGTTCACGTTCGTAAAGGAAGAATTTAACAAGGAGCAGAACTGAATCCTTGTTTCTGGCTTATTCCATAAGTCTCCATGGGAATTTCTAACATTGCTACTACAGTAAAACAAAACTAAACTGATTTTAAAAGAGAAACACTTGTTATATCACTTTGTTCTCTCTGAAATCCTTTGGTAATGCTGACTGGGACAGGAGGGACAGGGGAATGGTTGGGGAGAGTTTAGAGGTTTTTGGGTTGATTCCTGAAAGCTGCACCAGGACTGTCCATGCCCAGGAGATAGGGAAGTCCTACAGAGCACTCAGAACACATATTCTGTAAGAAAAGACCCAAGCAAACAACTTCCAACCTTCAGCTCAAGCTTTCCCTAAGCAGGAGAACACTGGGAACAAGGCTCACACCGTGAGTACAATTCCTCAGCGGGGCAAGAAGAGTCTCTAGTTCCCACAAACTGCATTAACCAGGACCAGCCCAGAAAGGACAAGTCTTGAATCCCTGTCCATGGGCTCAGCACTGCACATTGGCACTGACAACCAGGGCTGAACCTCAGCAGTTCCCATCAAGTTACTCCCAAGCCCCTCATCCCCCCTAGAAGATGAGCAGGGACACGTTGGAGAGTGCTTTGCCCCCCTGATGGGGCCTTCAGGCCTACAACCTCCTGTCAGCAGAGGGGGACAAGAAATTCAGCTTTAAAAACAACATCCCTGCTGAATAACTTGAAGCTGAGAGAGGTTTTCTTTCCATTTGACTAAAGCAAACTAAGACACAGAATCACTGAGGTTGGAAAAGACCTCCAAGATCATCGAGCCCAACCTTTGACTGATCTCCACAGGAGAGGAGCAAAGAGGAAAAAGTGATCCCAAGAGGCTCACAGCTTCCTAACAGGGAGCTTCAACGTTCCCCTCTGCATTTTGGAAGAGGGAAGATGATTACAACATCTCCTTTCATTACAACCAGAGCTCTGGACACTGCCGAAACTAGTTTTGCAATCACCCCAGCTCCTTGCAACAAGACTTAGACATGCTATGAATTCCAGTTCTTTCCTACCTTTCAGGTTGGCATGATCATCCCTCTTAGCCTGGTGGAAAACAAAATCAGCTGGAAAGATCTTCTCGATCGCTATCGCCGCGGAGAGTTGTCTAAGACACTCTAAGTGGTAGCCAAAAGGCTCAGGAGGACACACCGTTAGCCCTGAGCCATCAGGGCAGGCAAGTGGAGTTAGGGATGCTTCTCCTTCTGAAGGTGCATTAAAATGAAGCCATCAGAGCCCAAAAAGAGCAAAAAATCAACAAAAATCATAAATACTTTACCCCCACTTGCCATTCAGGTGCGTTTGCTCACACCACTCCAACAGTCCCAAGGAAAAAGAAAAAACAAACCCAACAGCTTTCCAGTCTCAGAGGAGAAGGCACTGGCTCCTGCCTGAGCTATGATCCCAAGAGGAGAGGAGTGTTGAAGAAGCACAAGCCATTTCCAAAGTGCAATCAATGTCTCCAGCTGCCAAGCAGAACAATCTGGAAGCATTCCAGGCCGAAAGGGGTGTGTAGCTGCATCCCAAGGTGGGAACGGGAGGTGGGTTTGGCACAGGGTTGGCTCCCCATTCAAAAACAACAACATCTCCCACTGCTCCTTCCCCCAGCCCTGGAATTCTCTGGCTCCCTCCTGCACAGTGGGCGGAACCTAAGAGCTCTTAACAAATCCTTCTCCCCCTGCACCTCTTTTCATTGGGTTTAGGCTCAAATTTACCTCTCCCTCTCCCCAGCAGCTGCTTAATTGCTCTGTAAGGTTCTAGGGACAGCCAAGACTTTTGGGATGGTTTATGCAAATCCTGCACCTTCAGTTGGGGTTTTGTTATGTTGGGTTGGTTGGGGTTTTTTTTCAGCAAATATTGCCAAGTGCAGATGAAATAAAGCAACCCCAAAAACCCCAAAAAACCACACACATTGTGGGTGAGGCCACTGAGCACCATGAGATTCCCTGGAAATAATGGACATTTCCAATTCATAAAGCAAGGGGAGGAGTTGCTTTCTCCTTTCCCAGTGCAACTGCCTTGGATTTTGCAGGAAAAATCTGGAAATATGGGAAGAGTTTTCTTAAAGGAACCAGAAAAAAAGGTTGGAAATATAGGAAGAGTTTCTTAAAGGAACCAGAAAAAAAGATTGGAAATATAGGAAGAGTTTTCTTCAAGGAACTAAAAAAACCCCATGGAAATATGGGAAGAGTTTTCTTCCAGGAACCAAAAAAAAAAAACCTTCCCATATTTCCAAGCTTTTTTAGTTCCTTGAAAAAACTCTTCCCATATTTCCAAGCTTTCTTAAAGGAAGCAAAAAATGTCTGGAAATATGCGAAGAATTTTCTTCAAGAAACCAGAAAAAAAGGGTTGCAAATATGGGAAGAGTTTTCTTAAAGGAACCAAAAAAAAATTAAAAAAGGGTTGGAAATATGGGAAGAGTTTTCTTAAAGGAACAAAAAAAAAAAAAAAAGAGGGGTGCAAATATGGGGAGAGGGTTTTTAAAGGAACCAAAAAAAAAAAAAAAAAAAAAAAAGTTGATATTATCCCAGAATCACTTCATGTATTTGATGGGAAACCTGTGGGAACATTGCAAGGGAGCAACAGGGATTTAAGTAAAACCAGGACTAGATGCCACTGGGATTGCTCAGGACCTTGGCTTTCCATGCCAGGTGGGAAATGAGGCACAAGAAGAAATCATGGAGGGCAAATCTAAGTTTTTCCCCACTGAATTTCACTGGGAGAAGTAACACTACCTAAGGAAAGCAACGTGGGCTAGAGGAACATTCTCACCCCATGGCAGGGGTTGGAATGAGATGATCCTTAAGGTCCTTTCCAACCCAAACCATGCCATGATTCCATGAAAAAAAATGAAGGGAAATGCCCTGCAAGCACACCCTGGGTGGGGTGAGGTGAGGAGCAGAGCCTGCAAATCCAGAGGCACCTTCATCCCTGGAGGGGAGTCCCCAGGCAAAGCTGGGAGCAGCTTCCAGCTCTTCCAGAGCAGGTAACGGCAGGAGGTGGCACAGGAGCACAGCTAGGAGTGGAATCACACTTGCAAATCTCAAGTGGATGTTTTCACAGCCTTAAAATAGGGTCAGCTGCCCCCAGGCAATGCAAGGGTGACTGGGTAGAGAGAGAGAGTCCCTTCCACTCTTGGCTTGTGCCTCTGCTGGGCCTGGGCAAGGCTGGATGGTTTCTTGCCTATCTCTGGCCTAAACACGACAACAAAAAACAAAACAAACTAAGAAACATACTGAGGGTGATGGAAAATGATCAAAGCTCTTGGAGCTTCTTGCGTAACTGATTTGTGGAAGGTGTTTCATAAACATTTCATAAGAAGGAGAATTATGAAGAAAACATCTCCCAACCTGCCTGCAATTACTGCACAAACTCTTCCTTACCAGTAGGAAGAAGGGGAGAGGAGGGGAGAGAAAAAAAAAAAAAATAGGAGCACGTCTGTTTTGTAACTGATCTGTGAACTTCTGGCAAACATTGGGCTCATGAAAACATCCTGCAGACATATTGCAGAGCTGTGCAAGGGGAGGAAGTTGGAAAGAGTCACCTTAGCAGCTCTGATTGCACCAGGGAAGGCCATACCCTTCCAACAGACCAAGCCACATCTGATCCATGGACTGCTGGGCAGGACTTTGGCTGCAGCCAGAGTATAAACCCACTTGAGGCTCACTGGTCATCTCAGCTGGTTTGTCTCATCTCTCAGACACCAAAGTAGCCCCAAAATGCTGCTTATCCCCTCCTTTGGATAAGCTTTGGTGTAACACATTCTGCTCTGTCACCCTCACAACACTGAGAGGCACCAAGTCAGTACTCATAGCCTTGATAAGGGATCTCCATGCCCTGCCACCAAAGCAGCTCCAAAACACCTCCTCTAGCACAGCTTCCATGTAACACACACTCTGCTCCATCATCTTCCTCCTCACAACACTAAGAGCCACCAACTCAGCACCCAAAGCCTTGAGTGCTCTCCCCAAACCCAGATAAGGCATCTCCATGCCCTGACACCAAAGCAGCTGAAAGCAGCCCCAAAACACCTCCTCTGGATGAGCTTTGATCTAACACACTCTGCTCTGTCACCCTCACAACACTGAGAGCCACCAACTCAGCACCCAAAGCTTTGAGTGCTCTCCCCAAGCCCAGATAAAGCATCTCCATGCCCTGTCAGCCTTCTCCAGCCCCAGCTATGAGCCAGGAACCACAGTGGGTAGTGTAAGATTGTCTCCAATCCTACTCGTTGTGAAGTTTTTATTCAGACAACAACCTCTTTGAAACAGATATTTATCTGCCTCTGGATCTGGCTCATCTCA